GTCCGAGTCTGGACGTGATTGCCAACATCAGTTTAGCGTGGATGATTGCTTTTTATCGGGGGGGAGTTCCAGTTCCAGTTCCACTTCCAGTTCCAACTCTGGGTCCGAGTCTGGACGTGATTGCCAACGTCAGTTTAGCGTGGATGATTATCTTCCAGTTCCAACTCTGGGTCCGAGTCTGGACGTGATTGCCAACGTCAGTTTAGCGTGGATGATTGCTTTTTATCGGGGGGGGGGAGTTCCAGTTTCAGTTCCACTTCCAGTTCCAACTCTGGGTCCGAGTCTGGACGTGATTGCCAACGTCAGTTTAGCGTGGATGATTATCTTCCAGTTCCAACTCTGGGTCCGAGTCTGGACGTGATTGCCAACGTCAGTTTAGCGTGGATGATGATTTTTTATCTGGGGGGGGGAGTTCCAGTTCCACTTCCAGTTCCAGTGGGTTACACTATGCCCGGTGGACTGGTGGTGGTGGTGGTGGTGGTCTTGGTGTCTCGGGGGTCTTGGTGGTCCCGGTGGTCTTGGTGGTGATTGTGGCGGTCTAGGCGGTGTTGGTGGTCTAGGTGGTCTGGTGCTGGTGGTCCAAGTGATCTTGGTGGTCCAGGCAGCCCCTGGTGGTTTTGATTGGTGGTGTGGCACCTCCCCATACAGCCTACAGCCCTGAAAGTAGTAAGAGTCCTTGATGAATTCTACTTCCTGTGAGAGGGTTTGAAAAGCTAGATCGTCCTAGTTGCTGGGCAGAAAGCAAAGTTATTTCTCTGCAAAAATCGGGTTCTGTAGGTGCCAAAAACTGCCTCGTTACAACATGGCCCCTCTGTAAGGGCCTCAAGTTCTCCCTTTTTGTAGAAGAAATGTCAACAGGGATCCGTCTACATTTTAAATATACGCGGCCCGGCCAGACCCTTTAAAGACACGGTGGGAACAGGTATTTTAGACTACCTCCGGGGCCGATTGCTCTGGCCAGGCCACCATATATTTAAAAGCGTTACCGTAGAGCTATTAACAAACTACTCCCTTACTTAATTAAGTAGGTGTTGTCTACTTAATGAAGTAGGAGCGGGCTTTTAACAAGGTTTATTGTAAAACCAACAAAAGGAAGTCGTAGGTTCATCAATCTCGTCGAGTTTCTCTTGCACTTTGAAGCCATCCTTGATGACAGCTCCTATTTGGGGCCGCTCCATGAGGGTAACGCCAGTGATGCCATCCCCATTGCTCAGGCTCACGTGGAGCAAGGCATCCTCTGGCAAGTACGGCTCATCGGTGGACTCATTCCAAAGGCCTTCGTTGCGCATAGACACTCCAGGTGCCAGGTAAATGACTTTTCAAGCAGCATCGGTTCCGCAATTTGCAGCACTTTTTGCCTTTGTCAAAGGAAAAACTACATTGCTGCACGTTCATTGCCGTAGTCCCAAGGTTGAACTGAACCACGTGTCATACCGTCACACAAACACACCAAAAAAAGTAAAACACAAAAACACACATTTTTTACTTTTCCATCTGGCGACCAGCATGCCGAAGAACTTCTGGCAAGCAGTTGGACTGGCCCACGTAACAAGTGTGCAAGCATGTTAGGACCAGAACTTGGATCCCAATAAGCGCCTGGTCTGCAAAGGTGAGGACAAACAGTCTAGCTGTCTAGCTAGAGAATGATTAATGGCACCGAAAGAAAAGCTTCATAGGTTGGAGGCCATCGGAGGCCATCGGTAATTATTAGGTTTAGAGAATGGCACCTCATAAAGCTTCAGGTAAGAACGGAACAGGTTGGATTTATTGAAAGGCGCTGGGAGAACTCTCTCAAGATGAAACCGGAATCGTCGTAAAGGCTCAGTGAGGAGTGCTTTCTGATGAATACGGAAGAGTGCGCGTTCGAACTCCATCTCTCCATGGCTGTTATGACGGCATCATCCATGCTCGTCTAACATACATGAATGTTGAACGACTCTACACACAATGAGGTGGATGTCCCTTGGATGTCCAAACTCGTTGAACTAGGTTTCAGCCAGTATCAACAGTTAGCTATATATTGATTTCATGTTGTCCTTTAGTTTAAGAGAGTTAAAACGAGTTAATTCTGACGGATGTGAACTCAGAAGAGTGTCTTCTGCTATAACTCAAGGCTCTAACAGTAAGAAGCATGTTTTGTTCAAACATGTTCAAACAATTATAGGCGCTGCTTGCAATCCAGCATTGGCTGATCAGAATTATCATTCACCTACAGTAGCTCACATGTAAGCAGCGACTTGTGGCCAAAATAGCGAACATCCACAGTAACAAGAAGCTACTAGTAACAAGGGCATCGCTACTAGTAACAAGAAACTACTAGGGGCTCTTGGACACAAATCTGATCTCATTGCACCTGTAAGACTCGAATCGTCCGACTGGCATGATTGGTCGTGGACACATCGTCTTGGTGGACTCTTGAATTACTACCGGTGGGTTTGTTCAACTGATCGCGCACCACTGCTGCTGGAGGAGGAGCTGCTCGAACTGCTGGCCTTGTAGCTGCGCACAACCTAGTTGTGAGTACAGTAATTGAGGAATACACACAAACACATACAACAGCAATTGCCAGTGCTTCCTTATGGCTGCCTGTGGTCCTCAATGGAGACACAACTCTTGACGACAAAGCTTGTGGAGACACAACTCTTTCAAAAGTTCCTGGAAGGCATGATTTCTAGGTCTAGGACCTCTCCATCTGCAGCAGTACCTTCTGGCCTGAGAAAGCAAGGAATGCCTTCTTGACTCCTTGAACCGATGACTAGCATTTACAATGGAGAGGAACCTTGAAGAAAACATATACTCCACACTTTTGGTTTTATCTATTTATATGATCGTTTTTTAAATATAGCGTACTTGTGTGCATATATATATATATATTCTTACTCTGGGGAAAAACAACATAGACCAGACAGAACTCACTTTCAAGTGCGATGGATTTACTATGGACCACTGGAAAAGTCCACCGTTTGCTTGCGACGAAGATTTGCCGATCACTTGCGACGAAAACCAGCATCACCAACATCATGGGCGATCTGTGGGAGGGGTGTGGGGTGGGGCAGTATTAACAAGGAAAACATGTTTTACACACTCTTACATCCTGGGGGGTGGGGGTGGGGGATGGGGACCAGCACGACACTCAAGCACAAACAAACAAACAAAAAAAACAATACACTCACCTGCATCCTGGGGGTACACACTCTTACATTCTGAGGGGCGGGGGGTCGTTGGAGCCCCTGATGCACATTCTGTTCTTGGAGCTATTCTTCGTTGGTTATTTGGTTTCTTTGTTAGCCAGTTAGGTAGTTAGTGAGCGTCACAAGGGCGAGCCAAGTAGCGTCACAAGCGAACGCCTCACCACTGGAAAAGGTGACTTCCCGGCGAAACTGTATTAGCATATTTTTTGGGGCTATTTCCGGACACTCACTGACATGGACCAACTGCAATCTGGCTACACACAGAGCGCAGGCTAACATAGACCATGTCACATACCCGTAGAGCCTATCTGAGCTTGGTCTAGGTTAATCTTAATCAAGGTACTGTAGGTGCGAAGCTAAACAGCTTAGCCCGGTGGAGGCCAACATAGACCATGCCATGCCAAACACCCGTGGGGCCTATCTGAAATTGGTCTAGGTTAGTCTCAATCAAGGTACTGTAGGTGCCACCCTACCTACTCTCAGTCCATGGTCCAGCCTGACACAAAGTTTGCACAAGCTTGAGTCAGGCTTGTGGCTAACATGGGCCATTCCCACTCTCTCTACTCTCAGTCCATGGTCCAACCTGACATATAGTCTTCCAGATATCGAGTGAGGCATGTGGCTAACATAGACCACTTCCCCTCTCGGTCCATTGTCCGCACTGACACAAACTTTCCACAAACCTCAGTCAGGCTTGTGGCTAACATGGACCATTCCCACTGTCAGTCTATGATCGATTCTGACACAAACACGGACCAACTGCAATCTGACTATACACAGAACACAGGCTAACCTAGACCGCGCCGGTAGAGGTCAACATAGCCCGGTGGAGGCTAACATAGACCATGCCAAATACCCGTACGGCTCACCATGGCGTATCTGAATTTGGTCTAGGTTAGTCTCAACGGTGTTCGCTCCGAAAATAGACCAACATATGCCACGAAAAAACATAAAGAACTATATGTGTTTGTTGCCTAAAATGTTAGTAAATATTCATACTTTACTTCGGTCTTTGTATGGGAGAAACACAAATAAACGCATACAAACTCCCAAGGCAGGAAAACATGCACACGCTCTATCCAAGATTAGCAAGATCTGCGATGGTGTGTGCCATGTGCCTCGTAGCTCAACACCTGAAAGGTTAAAATTTGAACGCAAGTCTGAACGCAAGTACATGCAGTCCGGTGGAGAACACTCTTAGCCATCAAAGAACTCAAAAGGGCAACGGCAACGGGTTGTCAATTCTTGGTGGACAGAAACCCTAATAAGACCCTGCCCCTGCTATCAGTGCAACAATCCTGCAAATAAGAACCTGCCAGCAAGCCGTAGCAGGCCATGCCATCTGTCATCCACCCGCAACAGCATCAGCTAGCATGCTGTGAAAAGAGATCTTGAACTGATCATGCCCCACTGGAATCGGACACGCATCCATGAGCACTAATGCACTGTAGAAATGGGAAACCATCAAATCCATTTGCTGAGGCTCGGTACCCGGGAGCTTGGCTATGGCTGCGACCTAAGATCTAGTCGCGGGGTTGAAACCCAAGAATCTGAATGAATGTGAGTTGATTGTTACTATAACCCAAGCGCAAGCATGCTACAGCTTCATCCAAAGGCCAACTTACAGTCTTACAGATTCCAAAGTAATGGGTTCGTTCATTCAAGGCCACGGCTCCTTCTTCTCAGTTGTCTCTGAGGGCGGCATGCCTGGTCCTCTGCCTGCAGGTTGAATTTGAATGCCTAAAAACATCAACAAAGATCCACCCAGAAAATATAGTTTCATTGAATCAGTTTGCCAATGGGATGCACCTCCTCGCTGGAGTCTGAAGAGCTTGACTCCTAGAACAATCCAAGAAGTCCAAAAGACTTATTATACAGTGGATGTGCATATAGGAGCTTATCCTAGAAGGGCACATTGAATTGACCCTCGTTAAAGGGGCCCTTAAAGGGCGGCCCTTATCTTCTTTTTACACTCTACTTCGACTTGTAGGCCGCATCTTTAGAAGCAATGCTTTTTGTTTTTTCGGTCATTGGAAATGGCTCGAGGGGTCGGGGTTAGCCTGGGGTTCTTGATGTCCACAACGGATCCTACGTTGTCATCGAGGAGTCATACGACACTGGAATGTTAGAGACGCAATTGACCCACCCGGCATAGCGAACCTGAAGAATTCAACCTTTCAAGCTCAGTTGGCATGAGGATTGGAGTCATCTGTCGACTGACATGTTGCCTTGAATCGCAACTGTTCAGCCTCAACCTTACTGTCAACATCACTTGCTGATCATGCTGCTTAGACTTTTTCCTCGCGTGCGAGATCTGAGGACATGGCTAGAGCTTTTGCATGACCCATTATGACCCTTTTTTTCTTCATGCCAAACACACACACACATGCACATGGACGCACCATGATAGTGATCCCTGTGTCCTTGGCGCCGGGCGCCGGCATCGCATCGACAAAGCCTAAGAACCAGCGTTCCTCCAGGCCATCTGCAAGGTCCTGCAGCTTGGTCAACCCAAATGGCTTGGAGTGAGACTGTGAGTGTCTTGAATTTGTGTCAAAGAACTTCTGTTTTGCGTTCAACTGCTTCACGTCCATCAGGCTCGCGGCCCGAGGCAGGTCAGTTGGACATGGAAAATGCCGCAGCGACAGTCATTGTTCATGACAGGGCAAAAGACCCAGATTGACCGTGGCCGCAGCCTTGTCAATTTGAATCTGCTATCTACAATGCCAAATAATGGGCATTGAATTGGTGAACCTTGCAAACATCGGAGCAAGCATTCTATCCACTGTGTTCACACCAGCAGCCGTTTGTAGTCAGGATGCTGAAAAGCCCCAACTGGATAATGTGTGAGAAAGAAGCAACAAAACGTCTACTGCAAGCTAGCTGGAAAACATGTTTTCTGCCCAGTCACTGATATAGGAAATGTTCATGAACACAACTCTCAAAATGCTCTATTCTGTTGGCTCCTTCATTCGATTCCGGCAGCTCAAGAACAAACACACCCAACGTCCCGCACTTAGTGAGTCGTGACAATCTTTTCTGGGACTGGATGCATTGATCGACGAGCGTCTCCAATGGCCCATTTGGGCTTCGACATTAACTAGGCTGCTACAGCGTGTGCACCTTCAAGCTCTTCATCTTGCCGCAAGCGCTTTTGCTCCTGAGAAAGTCAGAGCGGTGCATGGCAGTCACAGTGAGAATGGTGAACCCTCAGATAACTTGAATACATCCTGGAAACTGCACTATGGCCTCGCTTGGCAATACTGGGGAACATATTGTTGGCAAGAACATGTAGCTAATCCTACAAGGTCAATTGGAATTAGGAAATGCTCGAATAAAACAGACTTGTGACTGGGGTGCTGAAGAAGGGCCAAAAGAGTGCCCATATTTACGACCACAATTACTAACTAATCAAACGCATCCCAGGATGAATCGCTGCACAGCACGTGTAGCTGATGGAAGCCAAGTAGTAATCACAGTGAATGAATATGAATGCGTGTAGATCTGCCCCTCCGCAGAACATTACATCACTGGGCCGCTGCTGACTTCTCAAGCAAAAACCTCTTCAGTCGAAGGTTGTATACTGTAGCGTGCCCTTCAATGATTTTCCTTTTCTGCGGCACGAAGGAATGTGCACAGTAAGTGTAAACAAGAAATAACAAGGACATGGTGTGGTCTTTTGCTGCCAAAACTGTCCCAGTGGGTCACACTGCTTTGAATTGGTGGAGGCAAA